ACATTACAATTATTTTTATTGAATTTAAGTTATAAATGGCATATATTCTTTAATGAAAGAAGATAATACAGTTAAGTAAATCAATAATTTTTTTGAAGATTTGAATAAAATATGAATTAAAAATATAAAAATATAAAAAAAATATCAAACCTTAAATCAGATGTATAATTAATAATTAAATGAAATTGATTCATTATTAAATATTTTTAAAACATGAATACAATTTTCAAATAAGTAAAAAAACTTATCATAAATAAAAACAAATGACTATATTTATTTTATTAATTCCACTAAGAAAATAAAAAATAAACTCTTCCTTTCGATCTGGCTTATCCGAGATTTTTTTATGTCAGAAATTCGCCATGTTAGGATATCGTCACGTCGGGATATTGTCATGTTCAAATTTCACCATCTCGGGATTATAGTATGTCCTACTGTCAATGTTGAGTTTTTTGAATTTGAGAATATCACTCGGTATCCCGAATTCAATGCTATTTAAATTGAATTGTGTATAAAAATATCGAATATATATTTTTTTTTTAAATCACGAGTAATATATATACTGTATATACATAATTTTATTTTATTTAGTAACTTAATCAGAAAATATTATGCCGCCAAAGAAAATAAAATTCAACCAATATCAGAATATATTTGTAGAGTGTATTTTATGTGATATTCTTTGAAATTTTATCAGTTTTAAATATATGCATTACAAATTTCGCTTTGCTGGTTTTTTTATGTTGTATTTTATAAATAAATACAACATTTAATAAATTAAAAAAAATCATAATTTGAATAAAAATAATTCTTATTTATAAATAGAAAATAATATATTTTCTTTAAAGTAACATATTATAATTTAAAAATTTTACATTTAAATTTAACATGTAAAAATAAAATTATTAAAGGTATTAAAATATGGCTTTATCTTATAAAATATCTTGTAGGGAGTGGATGCAACCTATACATTCCCTCTCGTTCTTCTCTCATATATATATATATATATATATATTGAACTTGTTGGAGATATATATGCCATCGACAGCTTGTACAGGGAGAACAAGGTTAGAGCGAATCTCTTTTCTCATAGTGGTCCCCTTTAGCTATTGTTTTTTGAACATATGAGATATATAGAATGTTTCTTTATTAATAACAAGCAGTCTTAAAATATCTTATTTTCTGTTAGTAAAAATAACATTAATTTTAGGGATAAGATCCACTACGAACTCTTAAATTTTCTCCAGGTCCAGAGAAAAAATCCCAGCTCTTCCCTTCTCCAAGGTTCTGAATATATTCGTATACTGTATATGCTAGTCATAAATAGAGGATATGTCCAGTGCTTCCGGGAGAAAATTAATACAGATAAACATTAAAATGCAAGCTATGTTAATAAATTGGTTATTTTATCTTATTATTGTTATGTTTATTACGAAGTATTAAGAGAATGAAATGAAAGAAAAAAGTAGGGTGTCCAGCTTTCGTGGTAGCATATATATATATATATATATTCTTCCTTCAGGCTAATAGAGAGTACGTCTAAAAAACTTGTTCCAAGTCGATCAAAAGGTTTAGAAGTGCATTGAGAACAGACTGGCGGACAGTCTATTTTATATACTGGTGCTGCTTTTTTCAACGTGTTTATTCATTCATCATTCAAAGTAACACGATCTTTTTTCGAAATAGTCCCCACCCACTTGAATGCACTTGGTCAGCCGTGTCTGGTATTCTACGAAGATGTGCCGGAAACCATGTTTCGATAGGTTCAAATTCACTTCCGTTGCTTTCATTACTTTCGAAGAATCCGGGATACGGTGACTCCATAACTAAGACTTGAAGGTAGGAAAGAGGAAAAAGTTACAGGGAGCGAGATCAGGATGCAGAGTGAGTGAGGTACGCGCTGGATGTTCCGCTTGGCCAAACATTCGGTCACTACGTTTGCAACATGCGCCGTGCGTTGTCTTGATAAGAGTCACCACTCTTGGGGATGAAGTTATAATCGTTTCTTCCATATATGTTACTAGAGATATTTCAAGACAGACTTGTAATACTCTCGAGTAACTGTTGTACATAGGGGTACCTCATGCTGATACACCCTGCTGCGATGATCGAAGAAGGCGATCAATATGACTTTTCCAGTAGATGAGACAATTTTGATTTTTTACAAAGTTGGCGATCCTTTCTATTTCTAGACAGGCCTACTGATGGCTTGTTTCTCTTCCGGGTCGTACTGATGCAACCATAATTTGGCCGCAGTGATAATTGAATAAAAAATTTTCCTCTTTAGCAAAACAACGCTACAGTTTACAGTAAACATCAACTCTCACTTTCATTTGTCCCAGAGTCAATAGATGAGACACCTAATGCAACGCAGAACCAGTCGACATCCCCAAGGCTCCAGTCAGTCGATGTACTGTCATTCGACGATCCTCACGGATTATGACTGCAGCAGTATTGATGCTGATTTTTGTGACGACGGTTTTAGGTTGACCTGGACCAACTTGTCTAGCCATCGATATCCTATCGTCTGTAAACTTTGAATCATCTTAATGCCTTAAACGAAGCAGTGCATTCTTAACATAAACCTGTTGCAATATTTCATAAGTCTCTTCTCTGTCTATCCCCAAATGAATACAGAATTTGATAGTTGTATAGGCCTGCTACTCATCACGAATTGACACCATTTTGGTTATGCGAAACTAAAAGCTCGCTCTGTTGCAAACTATTTCGCATACAGCAATGCCACCTGTTGAGATAATAATTAAAACTCGCTCTTTTCAAATTTGTCGGTGTTGACAAGGTTGGTTTCTGAAAATAAATTCAGTCTTAGTCTTTCTGGAACAGCCCCTTATGTAGTTTGTTTTGCTTTTGTTTTTATTAAGTTATGACAACGCAACACTTGGGCAATCTGCCTAGATTGAATGCCTTCCGGGAGGTCTTTTTAAGGATAACTGGCCCCTATTTTGGCGTTACAGATATGGAGAAAACCCGGAAAACCTCTTATATAGATAAACACAGTGCGAATCTTTTAAAGACCAGTTTCATAATATAACGTAATGCTAATGTACTGTATATGTTATTATAAAAAACTGCCGAGTGTTAAAATTATCAAATTTTTTTAATAAAAAAGAGATTTATTTATGTTTTCTATTATTATTTCATAAACAATTGAGCAGACTTTTTATTTATTTTTTGTAAAAGTTCAAAGTTACAGAATAATAATAAACCTATTTAAAACATAATAATTTATGAAAGAGAATTATCTAATCAATTTTCCTACATTATAGTTACTCTTTAACATTACTTTTATAATCTAAAATTTTACATTTTATTAATATTTTAAAGATTCGTTAAATTCCATAACGATGGACTAAAAATAAAATATTCATTACACAAGCCTTCTACTGTTTAGTACATCATTATATGAAATTACTAAGAAAAATAACAATTTATTGCGCTACTTAAAGTGATCTCTAGAAGGAGAAGACTCGTATAAATTTAGTATACTAGAAAAGATCATTATAATTTATTGTTAAAATTATTCTAGGAGCGATCATCTCGAATCTAAGGGCTACAAAAAGACTTTAACCTGTTTTCCTTAAGGAGAATTTTTGTTTAATTAAATTTCTATCGCTTTCCTTTTATTTATCCTGTAGAAATAACTCTTTCGTACGTTTTTCATGAATGAATTTTTATTTATTGTATGTCTCGGAGATGGGATTATATAGATTTTTCCGAATCTTGGCTACGATAATGGTTCTATCGTTGTTACTTTTTAAAATTTAATCTCCGTTGAATTTCCCTTTCCTTTATATAAAGAGTTCTGATAAAGGAAAGGGAAATAAGGTTTGTTGAACTTCATTCTACTCTACTTTATGCCACCTGCCTGCAGCTCACTAGGCAAAATTTACTAAATGTGAAAATTTTGATAGCAACATTAAAACAAACTTTGAAGCCGCTGAGATTTTCTTAAAAATTTAATAAAACTTTTTAAAGTGTTGATATAAACAAAAATATAAAAAATTATTTATTAAATATTTAATTAATTTGATTTTATTGTGTACACATCTTAATATTAATTTAAAATATCAGATCATTTTTTTATAAAATCAAATATAAACTATTCAATTTTTGAGGTGATGTTGTCTTCTATCACATTTAATATCTTCAGAACTAGTCTATTCGCTCGTAAAAAATTATAGTTGAAGTGATTTTTGTTTTTACAGATAAGAACATCTTTAAAAATAGTATTTTTCTATTTTTCTGCTACTCTAGAACAAAACAGTAATCGTTGAAAGCAGTTCTCTAAGGAATTCGCAATGCGTTGTATCTTGTGGATTAGTAAACTTTTGTTATCCTCAAATTCATTAGAACAAATCTTTATTGATTTTAAAAATTTCGTAAAAATCTATAGAAATTCAGAAATTTTTTATTTAAAGTGAAGATTTGTTGGAATAATTTATAAAAGATTGGATCTGTTTCAACGATATGCAAACAAACTGCGCTTTGTTGCTTATTATATAACACGCTTTCTATAAAGAAACTCATTGTAAAAATAAAAAAAAAAGTGTAATTTAAATAAGAAATATCTTATTTATAAATGCAAAACAATATTTTTTATGTCGCACACTTTTTCTATCTTAATTAATTATAATTTAAAAAAAATTATATTTCAATTTAACAATTAAATATAAATTATTTTTTTTATTAATTTTTATTATTTTCAAGTATAATAAAACACAATTTATAAAAAAAAATATCTACATAAAAGGAAACTTAAATGTGTTTTATTATATTTTTAATTCGACATTTTTACATTTAATACATTATACATGACATAATGAATAATGAAATATCTTAAAAATCTATTTAAAAAATTTAAAACATTTTTATTAATTTCACAATATATAAATTATTTCATAAATTCTTTTAAAAAATATTTTCATAAAAACAAACTTGAATAGTCAACTTTGATCTATTTATTATATGATTTTATCGACTTAAAAATGTATAAAAGTATGAATAAGATTAATTATTAAAATATATAAATTTCTTTTCTTGAAAAAAAAATTATCAAACATATTCTTTAGCTTCTTCCCTCAAAGCGCAGAATAAACAAGTTGTAAAGACTAGTGCCATGATCTAAAATAAATAAACAGTAGAAATTATAATTGAGAAAATTACAGTTAATTGTTTACTTAATATTTTATTATTTTAAATTACTTGAATAAAACCAATTCCAAGCACTAATCCACCCATTAATCCTGCCTTTTTCTCAAGGTATCTTCTCAAATTTTCTGCACATCCCTGTAAGAGTTGATTATGAATATTATAAAAACTAAATTAAACATTTTTTTTTAATTCTTAGAATAAATGTAATAATGATTAATTTACATAAATGAAAACGTTGTTTGTTCTTTGACTGTTACACGATTCCGGAACAGCTGAATCTCCATAGTCATTTTTATCTTGAGCTCCACAACATTCAAGCTAAAACAATTTTCAAAAACAAAAATATATTTATCCAGTATTTATAATTAGTATAGAATAATGCCAAGAAATAAAAATAAATTTCAATGTCTTCGTATAATAAAGAACGACAGAATATAGATTTTCTCTTGTAACTGATACTTCTTAGAACACAGAATTAGTAATAAAATATTTATTGAAAAATATAAAAATTGTTAGCTATTATATAAGTGTATTCTATTATTATTAAATTAGCATAAAAATAACAATGTTAAAAATATAAATGTAAAATAATGAGGGCACTTTACATGCATCTGCAACAATTTTACAAACTGTTTAGCTTCATCGTCTCGGCTTCTTTTTTCTATTTGATCTCTAATCTTTTCTTTTAAAATCTCTTGCAACTGAAAACAGTTGAAAAATGGTTATATATGCATAAAAAATTTCGGAAAAATGAATAAATCGAACATTACCTTTTCGCCATCTGCTATTTTCCAAACCAAAACTGCTGTGGCTAGTTCCAAAATTATTATAAAAGCCATGATCAGAATGTACTATAAAATATAACATTTTCATCTCTTTTATCTTCAAAAATTTAAATATATAAAAATATATATATAAAGAAATAGTTATACTTACAGTCAGAAGCATGCAGGGGCTATCCATAGCTGCTCCACAGCAACCTAAGAAGCCAACTACAAGGAGAATAACTCCTACAGTAATGATAATATAGCATGCCTGGTAATATTGGTCCAAAGCTAATCCCCTTTGGAATGACCAAAAATAATCATCCGATCTGATAAATATGCCGATACCTGCGAGAGCTCCACCTAAACACTAATAATAGAAAAAAAAATAAAAGTTAAAATCAAGTAACCTTTCGAACTTTCACTAATTTTGTTACCTGACACTTTCTCTTATCTTTCGATCAATTAATAAATTGCCATTCTTTTTTCTCTTTTAATCTATTATTTTTTCTTTAAAATATTAATTTCCGGATATTTCTTCTCTACTGAGAAAAAATTCTTTAACCTATTTATTTTCATGTATTGATTCAATATTTAACCTTTAAAACTAGATTATCAATAAATGTATTTTCTACTTTTTTCATAAAAAAATTCTTTTAGACATAATAAAATATTGCCTATAAGATGGCTAAGAAGATGGCCTAAAATTTGTTTAGATAAGAGAAGGCCTGTTACATTTTCAGGGTGTGGCCTTTATTGGCAAGTGAATCAGATAAGTCATTAATTTACTTTATATTATGTATTGTAATTCCATTATGATGATTCATAATCGTAAAATGATAAGATAGTTACGAAAAATTTAGCAATTATTTGCTTATTTTTTTGTATAAAATCCTGTAAATATTATATTTTTTCATAATTTATACGTTTCTCTTACTATATTAATTCTTTTTAACATTATTTTAATAATAAGTTATAGATTTTTCGACTGATAGAAAGTTGATAATGCGAATTTGCATTAACTTAACAAAGAAAAAGAACAAAAAAAAAATCATAAATCCTGTGACAAACCGAATTAAATTTCTGATTTTTGGAAAAAATATAGGCCCTATATAATAGATTTATTGCTTGTTCGGTTATATTTTATCTTTTGAGGTGTGTAAATCACCATCTAGCCTATACACACATCGATTTATTTCTCTGAGAAGTTTATACGACAGAATATATTTTTTATTATTATTTATTATGATTTTTTTAGTAAAAAAGAAAGGTAACGTTCTTTAAAATCCATTGAGACTATATAAAAATCGATAATTAAAATTGAAGCTAACGTTATTGATCGTATCCACGTAATCAGCGTAGAAGTTTATGGTTTATCTGTATTGATCAATTTAAAATTTGTCACTAAATTTTTTTTTAAATGGGAAAAGTATAATCATTAGTGAAAGGATTGATGAGAAAAATAAGCAATCACACCTCTACTAATTATATTAAAATACAAATTTATCGTTTAAGTCCCTGCACAGGAAATATATTATCAAAATAACTTAAAAAAAAATATAATAATAATAAGCATTAAGATTTACCCTACGAGATAATTTTCAAATCGAACACATTAGTTAGAAGGAAATGATGTGTTCTACTTTATAACGCCATTAACAGAATTTTAATAGATAAAATTCAACTATTAAGCCGATAATTTTGGTGAGAATAATTAATATAACATCAAATTTATTAGAGATTTTAATTAATTTCAACGCTTCTCTTCTAATTAAGAAACTTAAATATAAATAATAAAAAAATCTCGTAATTACACTTTACAAGGAAGAAGATAAGGTAGCGTGATGTAGACGCCATTTTGAAAATGAATTATTAAAAAAGTATTTGTTTGTAACTTACCCAAATTATGAAATTTAAGGTGAAAAGAAAATATTTCATACAAGCCATAGCCGAATCCATCTTTCGCTGTTTATAAAATAACAAAACCGGAAAATATTTTCCAATATGGACGGCTTCAGGTTGAGAGCTACATAGACGTTTACTGTATCTAATTGTTCAAAGTACAATAACGAATCTGAGTTTTTATCATAGTTGCTAAGGTGATTCTTATCAGAATTCACCACCCAAACTTTGCAACATATTTTTGCGAAGATAGCGAATATAATAACCCGCAAATAATGCATTTCGTATATACTTTTTGAATTTACGATTTGTATATTTATTAATTTGTTTTAAAATTTTTTGGTAATACCAAATTTAAGAAACGAAACAAGTTTTATGGTAAAATATGAATAGTTTTTATTTTACTTATTCATTTAATGGGTACACTATACGCTACTAAATTCACCAAGTTACACAATACAATTACGGCTGTACAATATTCTGTTTTTTTTTCTCTCTTCTGTTGTTAATTATAAATGAAAGGAAAATGAAAATATAATAATAATTAATTATAGTAATCTGTTCCCGACGATTTGAAGAACAACACATCAACAATGAATTTGGCAGTGATCTTGCATTTTTTTTTTTCTGTTCTTTTTCAGAAAAGTCTGTTTCCTACAAACACAGCGAAGATCACAGAACACNTAAAATATGGCTTTATCTTATAAAATATCTTGTAGGGAGTGGATGCAACCTATACATTCCCTCTCGTTCTTCTCTCATATATATATATATATATATATATTGAACTTGTTGGAGATATATATGCCATCGACAGCTTGTACAGGGAGAACAAGGTTAGAGCGAATCTCTTTTCTCATAGTGGTCCCCTTTAGCTATTGTTTTTTGAACATATGAGATATATAGAATGTTTCTTTATTAATAACAAGCAGTCTTAAAATATCTTATTTTCTGTTAGTAAAAATAACATTAATTTTAGGGATAAGATCCACTACGAACTCTTAAATTTTCTCCAGGTCCAGAGAAAAAATCCCAGCTCTTCCCTTCTCCAAGGTTCTGAATATATTCGTATACTGTATATGCTAGTCATAAATAGAGGATATGTCCAGTGCTTCCGGGAGAAAATTAATACAGATAAACATTAAAATGCAAGCTATGTTAATAAATTGGTTATTTTATCTTATTATTGTTATGTTTATTACGAAGTATTAAGAGAATGAAATGAAAGAAAAAAGTAGGGTGTCCAGCTTTCGTGGTAGCATATATATATATATATATATTCTTCCTTCAGGCTAATAGAGAGTACGTCTAAAAAACTTGTTCCAAGTCGATCAAAAGGTTTAGAAGTGCATTGAGAACAGACTGGCGGACAGTCTATTTTATATACTGGTGCTGCTTTTTTCAACGTGTTTATTCATTCATCATTCAAAGTAACACGATCTTTTTTCGAAATAGTCCCCACCCACTTGAATGCACTTGGTCAGCCGTGTCTGGTATTCTACGAAGATGTGCCGGAAACCATGTTTCGATAGGTTCAAATTCACTTCCGTTGCTTTCATTACTTTCGAAGAATCCGGGATACGGTGACTCCATAACTAAGACTTGAAGGTAGGAAAGAGGAAAAAGTTACAGGGAGCGAGATCAGGATGCAGAGTGAGTGAGGTACGCGCTGGATGTTCCGCTTGGCCAAACATTCGGTCACTACGTTTGCAACATGCGCCGTGCGTTGTCTTGATAAGAGTCACCACTCTTGGGGATGAAGTTATAATCGTTTCTTCCATATATGTTACTAGAGATATTTCAAGACAGACTTGTAATACTCTCGAGTAACTGTTGTACATAGGGGTACCTCATGCTGATACACCCTGCTGCGATGATCGAAGAAGGCGATCAATATGACTTTTCCAGTAGATGAGACAATTTTGATTTTTTACAAAGTTGGCGATCCTTTCTATTTCTAGACAGGCCTACTGATGGCTTGTTTCTCTTCCGGGTCGTACTGATGCAACCATAATTTGGCCGCAGTGATAATTGAATAAAAAATTTTCCTCTTTAGCAAAACAACGCTACAGTTTACAGTAAACATCAACTCTCACTTTCATTTGTCCCAGAGTCAATAGATGAGACACCTAATGCAACGCAGAACCAGTCGACATCCCCAAGGCTCCAGTCAGTCGATGTACTGTCATTCGACGATCCTCACGGATTATGACTGCAGCAGTATTGATGCTGATTTTTGTGACGACGGTTTTAGGTTGACCTGGACCAACTTGTCTAGCCATCGATATCCTATCGTCTGTAAACTTTGAATCATCTTAATGCCTTAAACGAAGCAGTGCATTCTTAACATAAACCTGTTGCAATATTTCATAAGTCTCTTCTCTGTCTATCCCCAAATGAATACAGAATTTGATAGTTGTATAGGCCTGCTACTCATCACGAATTGACACCATTTTGGTTATGCGAAACTAAAAGCTCGCTCTGTTGCAAACTATTTCGCATACAGCAATGCCACCTGTTGAGATAATAATTAAAACTCGCTCTTTTCAAATTTGTCGGTGTTGACAAGGTTGGTTTCTGAAAATAAATTCAGTCTTAGTCTTTCTGGAACAGCCCCTTATGTAGTTTGTTTTGCTTTTGTTTTTATTAAGTTATGACAACGCAACACTTGGGCAATCTGCCTAGATTGAATGCCTTCCGGGAGGTCTTTTTAAGGATAACTGGCCCCTATTTTGGCGTTACAGATATGGAGAAAACCCGGAAAACCTCTTATATAGATAAACACAGTGCGAATCTTTTAAAGACCAGTTTCATAATATAACGTAATGCTAATGTACTGTATATGTTATTATAAAAAACTGCCGAGTGTTAAAATTATCAAATTTTTTTAATAAAAAAGAGATTTATTTATGTTTTCTATTATTATTTCATAAACAATTGAGCAGACTTTTTATTTATTTTTTGTAAAAGTTCAAAGTTACAGAATAATAATAAACCTATTTAAAACATAATAATTTATGAAAGAGAATTATCTAATCAATTTTCCTACATTATAGTTACTCTTTAACATTACTTTTATAATCTAAAATTTTACATTTTATTAATATTTTAAAGATTCGTTAAATTCCATAACGATGGACTAAAAATAAAATATTCATTACACAAGCCTTCTACTGTTTAGTACATCATTATATGAAATTACTAAGAAAAATAACAATTTATTGCGCTACTTAAAGTGATCTCTAGAAGGAGAAGACTCGTATAAATTTAGTATACTAGAAAAGATCATTATAATTTATTGTTAAAATTATTCTAGGAGCGATCATCTCGAATCTAAGGGCTACAAAAAGACTTTAACCTGTTTTCCTTAAGGAGAATTTTTGTTTAATTAAATTTCTATCGCTTTCCTTTTATTTATCCTGTAGAAATAACTCTTTCGTACGTTTTTCATGAATGAATTTTTATTTATTGTATGTCTCGGAGATGGGATTATATAGATTTTTCCGAATCTTGGCTACGATAATGGTTCTATCGTTGTTACTTTTTAAAATTTAATCTCCGTTGAATTTCCCTTTCCTTTATATAAAGAGTTCTGATAAAGGAAAGGGAAATAAGGTTTGTTGAACTTCATTCTACTCTACTTTATGCCACCTGCCTGCAGCTCACTAGGCAAAATTTACTAAATGTGAAAATTTTGATAGCAACATTAAAACAAACTTTGAAGCCGCTGAGATTTTCTTAAAAATTTAATAAAACTTTTTAAAGTGTTGATATAAACAAAAATATAAAAAATTATTTATTAAATATTTAATTAATTTGATTTTATTGTGTACACATCTTAATATTAATTTAAAATATCAGATCATTTTTTTATAAAATCAAATATAAACTATTCAATTTTTGAGGTGATGTTGTCTTCTATCACATTTAATATCTTCAGAACTAGTCTATTCGCTCGTAAAAAATTATAGTTGAAGTGATTTTTGTTTTTACAGATAAGAACATCTTTAAAAATAGTATTTTTCTATTTTTCTGCTACTCTAGAACAAAACAGTAATCGTTGAAAGCAGTTCTCTAAGGAATTCGCAATGCGTTGTATCTTGTGGATTAGTAAACTTTTGTTATCCTCAAATTCATTAGAACAAATCTTTATTGATTTTAAAAATTTCGTAAAAATCTATAGAAATTCAGAAATTTTTTATTTAAAGTGAAGATTTGTTGGAATAATTTATAAAAGATTGGATCTGTTTCAACGATATGCAAACAAACTGCGCTTTGTTGCTTATTATATAACACGCTTTCTATAAAGAAACTCATTGTAAAAATAAAAAAAAAAGTGTAATTTAAATAAGAAATATCTTATTTATAAATGCAAAACAATATTTTTTATGTCGCACACTTTTTCTATCTTAATTAATTATAATTTAAAAAAAATTATATTTCAATTTAACAATTAAATATAAATTATTTTTTTTATTAATTTTTATTATTTTCAAGTATAATAAAACACAATTTATAAAAAAAAATATCTACATAAAAGGAAACTTAAATGTGTTTTATTATATTTTTAATTCGACATTTTTACATTTAATACATTATACATGACATAATGAATAATGAAATATCTTAAAAATCTATTTAAAAAATTTAAAACATTTTTATTAATTTCACAATATATAAATTATTTCATAAATTCTTTTAAAAAATATTTTCATAAAAACAAACTTGAATAGTCAACTTTGATCTATTTATTATATGATTTTATCGACTTAAAAATGTATAAAAGTATGAATAAGATTAATTATTAAAATATATAAATTTCTTTTCTTGAAAAAAAAATTATCAAACATATTCTTTAGCTTCTTCCCTCAAAGCGCAGAATAAACAAGTTGTAAAGACTAGTGCCATGATCTAAAATAAATAAACAGTAGAAATTATAATTGAGAAAATTACAGTTAATTGTTTACTTAATATTTTATTATTTTAAATTACTTGAATAAAACCAATTCCAAGCACTAATCCACCCATTAATCCTGCCTTTTTCTCAAGGTATCTTCTCAAATTTTCTGCACATCCCTGNTAATTTCTTTCTGTACATAGTCTCTATACTTGAAAATGAAAATTATTTATAATCAGGAAAGCGGCGTTTATCAATTTTAAATGTTTAAAAAACAAATAAAGTTTTGGATATCTTCCAAAATTATGTAT